CCAAGGCCTTCCAGGGGAGGACAAGAAATAATGGGCACAAGCTGACTGAAGATTGCTTCAGGGTAGACGTAAGGAAAAACTTCCTTACAAGCTGAGTGCTGAGGGTTTGGAACAGGCTCCCCGCAGAGCTGGTACAGTCATCCACCCTGGCAATCTTCAAAAACTGTCTTGGCGCCCATCTTGCTGAGATCATCTGATCCCAGGGGTCTTTCCTGCTCACGTGCAGGGGGGCTGGACCCAATGATCTGTAAGGTCCCTTCCAGCCCCTAACATCCATGAAACTATGGGGGGGAAGAGAAGGGCCAAACAAGAAGGGGGAATAGATGGACGGGTCTTTAGCTCTGCTACTTTCCCACAGACTTGTAGAGCTGAGATACATGGAGGGAAAACCAGGCAGCTTCTGGCACAGGCTGGTCACAGATTTCATTTGGAGTTTGGTAGGGGAGGGGGTCAGGGTGAGACAAAAATGTAAAAGTTGTTGGTATTGCTGACTTGGTTTTTAATTATGGGCCAAACTCTGCTAAGTCACCTGGACGCAATCACCACTGATTTCATAAAGGAGAGCAGAATTGGCTCCATAGTGTGCTTCTCTCTCTGACTCTCGCTGCCCCACATTTATACGGTCACTAGCAATCTTTTTGCTCTCTATTTTTTATGCTATAAATACAGGTATAGCTACAGAAGAAGTGTAATTACAAGCCTCTGCGTTGCAGCATTGTTTGATTTACCATGAGATAAATGTGTTCCTCCTGTATTTGTTGAAATGACACAAATTATTAATGGTCAATTAGGTTCATTTCACATGCTTTGGCAATGGGTACAGCTTGAAAACCTTAATAGACTTTGCTTCAGATACTTTCATCCAAGGCGGTGGTGGTGCTCAGCCTCCCATCCACAGGCTGAATCTGGCCCACAGGGCTGTATCATCCTACACAGGGCCAGAAATTTGGTGGGGGGGGGGGGAAAGCAGTGGCAGCATGAATTGCAGAGCCACAGTGATGAACACCATCACTGCTCCCTTGCTTCCAAATTTCTGGCCCCGGGGGGGTGGGGGGAGCCCTGTGGGCCAGATGACACAGCCCTGCATGTCCGTGCACAGAGTCACTCCAGGGCTGGATCAGGTGTGCTGAAGCAAGCCTGCGAACTGGCTCGCACCTGCAGACTGACCCCACGTGTTAACACACTGCTAGATACGCCCTGCAGATTGGCCCCATGCCACTTATCCAGCCTGCTGGGCTGAAATCTTGAGTACCACTGATCTTAGGGTCTTCACAGAGTTTTTCCCAGGAAGCCAAATAACGCAGCCCACTCTAGTGAGTCTTCCCATTCATTTCAACGAGATTTCCTTCAGGCCTACGAAGAGCCATTTCCACTCACTTTTCCTAGGCTAAGTCTAACCTCAAGCTTAGGTCAGTCCATGAAACCATCCATGGGCAATTGATTCATGCTGTCAGTAAACATCCACCCCTTATACTCAACATGTCTTATTTGGGGCAAGTTGATAAACTTCAACAAGTGACTTGTGGAGCCAAATTCTAAATTATAATGGATCTTCTGAATGACAGATTTTTTCCATACAGGCATAGGAGGTGGAGAGCTGCATGCAGAGGGGTTATCGAAAGAGAGTCACAAGTCCCAGTTCAGCTAATCATTTATGCGTGTGCTTAAGTCCTCCTGCATGCAGCTTAGCATTTCAGCATGTGCTTAAGTCCCATATGCTGAGCAGGCAAGCGTGGATGAACGGCAGCTTGAGTGAGTTCTGTTCCCTCGGCGTATAACTTACGTCGTTTGAGACTCCCTTGATCCCCGTTCGGGTTTTGTCTGCACATAAAAATATACCTGTTGAACTAGTGTTTTCTAAGCTTGTATAGTTGAATCAGCATAAAGCCCTGTCTGTGCACAGTGTGGTCCTCCTCAAACTGATTTTAAGGTGGTTTTGCTTAAATTCAAAATTACACTTCTGAAATTACATAACTACAAATCTTTGGGGGTTGGACAGGGTCTCATACTCCCACTTCACCTCAGGAGCTGGGTGCAAGCTCCTCTTGACATGGATGTCCTAGAAGACAGTTCCACCTTTTTTTGCATCCCAAGATATGGCTACAAAAAAGTTGTCAAGAGGTAAGCTACTTGCAGCGCGTTAGCTCCTTCACGGTAACTGCCGATGTGCATGCTCTCATCTCACAGTCATGAAAGTGGGGTAAGCTACCTCCCATTGTCGTGAGGGAAGGGCAGCTATCTCAAAGTTGCCAAAGAACTATAAACTCAGTGCTGGCGCCCAGGGCAAGCCTGTAGAGGCAGCCCACCCTTGCCTCGTGCACAGATCCAGGAGGCGCAGGCCTCCGCACGCTCGGCCAGGAATGCATGCAGCGGTAGGAGCTGCCCCCGCCCCAAACGAGAGGTTTGTGGCTCCATCCCATGCCCTGCCGCAGCTGGTCAGCGCCCGTGGTGGTCACCCCACTCACCCCCCCTTGCTACAGCACTGTATAAACTCCCACCTTGGTTTACCTCCGGGTGACCTGTGTGTGTTGCTACGCCCTAAAATGAGTCCAGAAGCACATCTGCACCTAAGCAGTTGCTGTGCTCTTTTTATACAATGCTACAGAAAAAATTACCATAAAAAAACTGACCCAGGCATGAAGCTTCCCTAATCCTGCAACGTGCTAACCAATGCAAGCTCTCACTAGTCTGCCATGGTTTGTCTCACCCTAGGCCCTACCCTGCGTCTTTCACGTGTATTGACAACCAAAAAATTAGGCAACCCAGTCCTAAAAAGAAACATGGCTAAATGAGAGGCATAAGCTGCAGAGCAGGGGTCAGCAACCTCCGGCATGCGTGCTGAGCATGGCACGCAAGGCCATTTTACTCGGCACATCACCGCCAGCCTGGGCTCTAAGTAGCTGCTGCCAGCCACGGAGCCCAGGCTGCTCCCAGCAGGCGACTGGGAGGCTGCAAGCCCTGCTGCAAGCAGACTGGGCTCCGTGGGCCGGCTGCAGCTGGGAGGCTGCAAACAGCTGCTCCGGGGTCTGACATGTCGGCACTCCAGCACCTTCCAAGGTAAATGTTGTGGGGTTTTTGGCACTCCGGCCAAAAGACGTTGCCTACCCCTGCTGCAGAGGGAGAAAAATGAGTCTCAACAAGTGGCTCTGAGCCTCCAGTTTCACACAGTTCAAAGGTGCATATTGGTTTGGGCCTGTCTCTAATCTCCAATGAACTGCATTTGAAGCTAATCTTGTAAACCTGTTAATTCCTGTATCCAGATAACCAGCTTTCAGGTAGGTACTTTGTAGGCCCTGAGTACAAAATGCAAAGAAAGGGTGTTTGTCAAACACACACTGTCCACACACATGCAGAGGGAAGAATGGACAAATACAATGGAGACGACATACAAAAACTAAAAATATGAGGAAGACTTCAAAAGGCTGAGCCTAGCCTCCAGCTCCCTGTCAAATACATATGCTCTTCAGTACATACCGTCCCTGTGGCAAAACCCCCAGAGATCTCAGCAATCAACTGGAATAGATTAATGGCCTGAACCTTTCTCCTCAAGTTAAAGTTTTACTTGTAGCCAGTGCAAAGATTAGTGGTCTTTTTTTTTCTTTCCCCTTTCTTCTTTGCAAAGTACCTTTTAGACCCCTGTGAAAGATGCCTGATTGATAGCAGTTCTTCTCTCCACTGAGCAGGTAGGGCCTGAGTTTCCATCGTGTGAAATTCCTCAGGTCTCACCCCCAGCCCCTCTCTGAAGTGCAAAGGAATTATTCACTCTTAGTCCCTCAGCCTTTGCCTCCCTGCTGCGGATGCCAGTGGGGTTGGTTTCAGTTATTGCAACGGTCTTTTAATGATGATATCACCAGTTTCTAAGCCAAAGATTGCAAACGCAGGTTTTGCGTATGCATCCCCCATCACCCGCTACCGGCCCAGACCAGAATCATGCCAGTGACCTGCAAGGACAAAGCTCATGATTAGTGTCTAATCACCTGAGCCAAAGGTTAATAATACCAGTAAAGAAGGAAACAAGCACTGAACTGTTACTGAAAGGCCAGGGACAAGACCTTTTAAACTGAGAACTGATTTTTTTTTTAAATGCTTAAGGTGAATTTTGTACAACATGTGTAATATGTGAAAATATATGTAAATTATGAATATATATCTGTATGCATAGGATTTTTGTGTACATGCATAGAGATCACTTTCTACGTTCCTAGGCAATGCATGTATCGATGACTTATAGTAAATCTTGGTAAATGCATGTATTTCTGCATATGAGTAGAGATAGGTAGATAGATCTCTTGTTCTTTGTTTATGTATATGTTCACAAACATACACACACATATGCATATGTATTTTGGTATTTGTGTGTACAGAGAAGTAGATGGAGAGATCTCTGTATATGTATATGGGCGTGTAAATAATAGCAGGTGTTTTGCTAATTAACAGTTAATTACAGGCACCTCTCCATTCCTGTCTACTACACCCGTTACATTTTCATTCCAATCTCCCTACTGACATTTGGTAATGGGCAAAAAGGAACTTTACAATTTAGCAACCAAAAAAAAAATCCTCCACAACAGCCAAGAGAGATCGTGAACATATCAGAACTTCCTAGAACCGAGTAGCACCTGCTATGAATATATAACTATATCATAAGCCCTATGTTTTGCTGGTACACAGCACAATATACTTACTTATTACTGGAGATGTTCTCTTGTTCTGTACTCTGCTAATGAAGCTGAGCTGAGAGCAAGTTGAAGACATTGTGCTTTCTCTATGAGGTGTTTTACATTCACAATATCGTCTTCTCAATGTGTGTCTTGTTTGTCGATTTGTTCCCCAGAATAACAAATCTCTTTATCCTTTGCTATTGTCCTGAGTTAAACAGTGTTAAAGCAACACGTAGTAATACTGTTGGGTTTTTCATTAACATTCAAACTGAATCCCATCTTCCTGACCAGCAAGATTTTTCCTCCTATCCCTCCTGCCTGTATCTCCTTTCATCTGCCCCTCCTCTTAAACAGAGGATATAAACCTTGTCCTAAGGTTTAGGAAAGTTTCATAAGCCCAAAGGAGGGGCTGCACCCATAGAATCCCTTTGAAGACCAAAAGAATGGACAAGACAAGTAAAATGCAAGATAAGGTAAATCCGATTTAGTAATATTTTACTGTAGTGTCAGTCCTGGGCTGCCTTATGGGAACACATACTGGGTATCAGGAGGGTCGAGTTATTGACTGTCCAGAACAAGGGGGAAAAAAGGCTGAGCTTGGTATTTCCTTAGAAATATATTTTTGATGGGCTTTTCAGTTTATCTAAAACGTTTTAAAGTGTGATAGAAGCAATGGAAATGCAATACAGTAACACAGAGAAAACAGCTAAACGTAGCTCGACAGTCAGTTTCTACCCAATTGATTTTGCAGCTGATTTCAGTGGGCTTTCATCCTGAGTTAAACCTGTGAAACTGAGCCTGCAATGCTGTGTATTTACTTTTTTTTACAATTTTATGCATATTTGTTAAGGAGGGCATTTGAACTGCTGTTCTTTTCAGAGTAATGTGTTTAGGAGTGCGGAGGAATCCGTTTTTGGGTATAAATCTGCCTGTCTGTGACCAATCTCTCTTCACAGTAGGGGCATAATGAAAAGTGCAAATTGCAACCTGCACAACCTGGATACCTGTCTAATTGCTTTATGCACCTAATGTCACTTGCTGTTTTGGGGCCCGATCCTGCTAAGTTTGATGTATGTGCATTTGCCCTCAAATCTCAATGAATTTAAAGGGCATTGAATGTGCTCAACCCCTCCCCAGAGGCACTCAGTAGCTGATAGGATCCCCATGAAGAACTACTGCTGGTAGCAGTCCATCCTGCATGGTGCTATGTCCCCTGCACATTGATTTTAATGATAGTTGGTGGTGCTCAGTAACTCCTAGGGTCTGCTCACGTGACAATACCAGACACAAATAAGTATTCGTTGTGGGTTCCTGTTCCCCAAACTGCAGCATTTTCCATTTTCTTTTGGAGTGAGATGAAGCTCAAGCATTGCTATGACTGGCGTGTTTTGCAGTCCCTGTTCTGCTTGTTGTGAATGGTAAATTTGCTACTCTTATCAATGGGAGTAGGATCAAACTAGACCGAGAGGTCTGATCTGTTGGGAGAAGCACCAAGATATTCCCTGTACATGTAGCCCCTGGAAACTCTACTTGCCGTGGTGCTAGTTCTGGCCAGTGCATTTTGTAAAAGCAGCATGACAAGTGATCTTTGGTGAAAGCTGCCTGTTCGAAATGATTGTTGAGTCAGCAGAGTCGCCTTGGTCAATGCGGGACCTTTCTTGGTTGCTGACAGGCAGATCAGTCTTCTGCAAAAAAATAATGAAAACTCCTCTGTGGGACTCCAGATCAGCGATTCACAGATCAGGTCACTCCTCCAGTCAGAAAGGGCCTGGGAGATGGTGTGGATAGCTAGCTACCTATGGTTCTCCCTCATGGCAGTGGGATTGGATTGGAAGATGATTGCTTACAAGAAGCAATGGTCTCAAGTTGCAGCAAGGGAAGTTTAGGTTAGATATTAGGGGAAAAATTCTCATTAGGAGGATAGTAAAGCACTGGAACAGGCTACCCAGAGAGGTGGTAGAAGCTCCATCCTTGGAGGTTTTTAACACCCAGGTAGACAAAGTCAAGGCTAGGATGATCTAGATGGGGATGGTCCTGCTTTGAGCAGGGGGTTGGACTAGGTGACCTCCTAAGCTCCCTTCCAACCCAAATTTTCTGTTTCTATGATAATATGGTTCTCTCCTTGAGCTGCCTCCCCTCCCCAGCAGACTGGGTCCTCTGAGTTGTAAGGGGGACCCTGGCAGACATGGGTGAAAAAGCACCAGGGAACAAGATAGCAGGTCTTTTTACCTGACCGGGTAAAGAGCTATATTTAACAATAAGTTTAAATTTCTGAGATTAGGAAGAGTCCCATATGGACACGTTACAAAAGACCTCTTCCTATACCCAATGTGTTATACTATAGTGACTGGGGCAGAAGGTGTTTAGTGACATGTGGAGCATACAGAGCAACCTTTGCACTCCCTAGTGCTGGGGCCAGTTCGTCCCCTAGCACAGCTTAAAGCAATGCCAGGACTGCATAAAGCAGTGCCTGCCAACAAAACTCTTCAGCCTTGTTCCAACAAGGTTCTGGCCACACTTTCTTCTCCAGACACCATCCCTGGCATGTGCCCTTCTTACTTTATGAAGGTAGCAAACTGAACTGCCTTTGTCTGCATCATGATCCTGGGACTTGTGGGCATAAGACAAAGACAACTCAGGGTTGCTGTAAGCTACTCTTAGCTACAAAGCTCATTCTGGCTGCTGAATATCATCAGCCTCTGAACTGAACACAGCCCCCTCCTCCTAGAGGTATCCTGGCAGAAATGGGGGTGCCTCGGATCTGCAACAGTGGCTGCTCTCCACTGCATAATCACCCCTCGATGAGGAATGCCTCCATCAGCCAGTTCTCCTGCATTACAGCTACTTAGAAAGACCAAGAAAATGAAGGGTACTGTGGGCATCCTCTTAACTGGGTGAGAACCCGGGCTTTGATTTGAAACAACAGGTCAAATTCTGCCCTCATTGATACCCTGCGAACCCTTCGGCTTCAGTGAAAGCAGGATCTAGGCCAGTCTGTTCAAGGTTTATACTGCAGAAATGTTGCCGATGCTGAAGAGCAGAAAAGTGACTCTGCTTTCTGTTTCCCGATCCTCTCCTAGCACCTCACAGGAACCTTGGTTCTCTCTGTCTTCACTGCAGTGCTGGGCTTCTTCCAGTACGGTTACAGCCTTGGTGTCATCAATGCGCCACAAAAGGCAAGTACAGAATATGCAATTCCATGTGCAGTATCATTTCCAATTCCCCTTTCATTCCTAGATTATTATTTCCATTAAATTAGTACCCCAGGGTCCAACGAGCATTAGCACTCTAGATACTGAAGCAATGCATAGGTAAGCAGAATGTCTTCCCCAAGCATTTGTAATCAATGGTGTAAGTGTTAAGCTAACAAACACATTTGCAAGGTCATGTGTCCATGACCACTCCTTTCATAGAGGAAGGGGACTGAATCCCTTGGTCCGTTCTCATAAACACTCATCTAAAGAACAGAGCAGGGATGACAGAATATTCCCCTGACCCAGCAATGGGTGTTCCTGAGCTCTCGCAATAACCTGAAAGTGTCCATGACCACTTTCTGCACTCTCTTCCCTGCTGAGGCATTAGGGCATAGCTACCAGACTGTACTGTTCAAAACTTAGCAAGGACGCATGATAGATACAGATATGCAAATGCCAATGACCGCTCTGTTGTGGGGGGAGGAACAACTGCCCTGTTTGCCAAACCCAGGTCATATAAACCAGGCCATAGGACAACTTCTCTATAGAAACACAGTTGAGGGGCAGAGTGAGAAAGGCATCTTGCTGGAGGCTTTTTGATGTGCGATAAAGATCACCATCAGTTGACCTAACTATAAATGGATACTTGGTTATTTAGGCTGAGGACTTAAAAATAGCTGGATGTAATGATAGTCATATCAGTCTGTTGTATGCCACTAACTGTAGAAACTATCTTAACTGTTTTAGTCCTATGGATTTGTAGGTTCAGGACCTTTGACCTTTTTGGTTAGTGTCAATGGCAAAACTGCAAAAAGGATTTGAAAAGGGTTGGGATTTTGTCCATAATGGATGAAGAGCCTCCATTTTATGGACTGCTAAGCAAAAGAAATCTAACTAGGTAAAGAAAGCTTCTTGGGTAGTTAGGAACAGAAGAACTAATACCTGGCTGTATTCCTTTCCCACCGCAGGTAATAGAGGCCCATTACAGACGTGTGCTGGGCATTGCCCCTATGGACAGAAGTGCCATCAATTTCTCAGAGGCAGATGAAGGTACAGCCTTTCCAGGTATAGAAGCAACAGATATAGTCACGAGTACGGCAAGCGCACACAACACCCTCACCATGTATTGGTCCCTGTCTGTGTCCACTTTCGCCATTGGTGGGATGATTTCCTCCTTCACTGTTGGATGGATTGGAGACAAGTTAGGCAGGTGAGAAACTTTCTCTTTCTTTAAAATTCATCCGTGGCCAGAAAACATCTCAGAGGTTATCATCATCATCACCATCAAAGCTGTGGGCAGGTGGAAGGGGATGGGAGTCAGCTGCGCTGATCCAGGCACCCAGGGATCCACAGCCAGTTAAGACAAAACAGAGCCAAGCAACTGGATCAAGGATCTGGATCACTGTCTTTCATTTAAATAAAGGGGGTGGGGGGCATGTATGTGTAATGCGTGCAACTTTCTACACAGCGACAGTCTGATCAAGACACCAGGTCAGAACTGGGCCCACAAATCTCACTGTAAGCATGAAGTGTTACACCACCCTTTTTCCAAGTATTTCGAATGATTACACTCCAAATCCCTAGATTTGACTTTCCCTAGAAAACATCTCCCTCCAGAAGTTGCTCTTCTATTATTTTTCCCAATTCAAAGGCATAGCAAGATTTTGGAGATTTTCTCCTAAAATCATTTAAGTCAGGTTTATTAAAATCCAAAATTAAAAAGCTGACTTTCTATTGTACTTTTTATCACTCCAGACAATCCACAGGCGAACAGCTTTTCTTAAGTTGTAATTCTGTCCTTTTTCATAACAAAAGGCAGTGTAGTATATGTGAAAGGAATTTGTGCGGGGATGGATATTTGTGCAGTCGCTTTTCTGATTGTACCACTACCATATGTTTTTCAGTACATGTGATCGTTATTCTTTACCCTTTAGGTTTGACTTGTTCACTGACATTCAGCCTAATTCGGTACTACGATGCCTATAAAGCAGGCGTATTCCCTCATTTAAGGGGCATGGAAGCTGACATGTAACGTTCCTGCAAGTAACTTTGACTGACAGAAAATGATGTGAATAGCAAAGGTGTTTTAAATAAGTCCAGAATTAAATCCAGCACAGGCAAAGCAACAAGCCAGTCTTTGCCCTGAGCTTACCAGTGTGAGTGTCCTCACATCACAGTGATTTCGGGGTGCCCTGAGGACACTCAGAAGCAATGGGAGCCCTCCTGGTAAAGAAGATAGTATTGAGACATTTTAAGCAAGATTCCTATCTTAATTTCACAGCTGTAAACAGAGCAACGCCAAGCATTTGGCACTTCACAGGTTGTGCTCAGTCCCTCTGAGAGCTGGTCCCAGAGGTGCTTTTACACATGTTCCTGATGCAGTGCTGACTGCTTTTAATTAGCGAGCCATGCTAATTAAAAGCGCCTGGTGCCCCATCGGAAACATGCATGTCAGTGGCACAGCGCGCCTCCAAGCTGAGAAAATGGCAGCGGCGCACTTGAAACTAAAGCACATTGAACACATTTTAGTTCAAAGCGCGCCACCGCCATGTTCTCAGCACAGAGGTGCGCTGCGCCACTGATGCACGTGCCGCGCGGGCAGGGTTTGAATTGGACTCCATTAATGGAGTCTGCTCCAACACACTGGAAATCCTGCCCAGTGTGTACGTGCCCAGTTTCTAATTTGGGTTCATACCATAATTTAATTTTAAAAATAATTTCTAGCTGTAAGGATGAAACTAGATTGGCAGAATTCACGTAATGAAATTGTTGTTGTTATTCTTAGAGCAATTTCAAGCACTCTGGAATGAGATAAAATATCTCTATCGTATAGGATGTAATGTATAATACATTGTATTGGATACAGAATGAGGAGGATGATGACAACAATAATAATGATGATAATCATGGTGGTGATAATAATCGTACATGTAAGCTATGCAAGGAACATCTATCCATACCGAGAATGCCAGAAAATCTAAAGCATAACAAATTTCAGAGCTGGACTTACTATCCCAATGTAGCTTTGTTTTTAATGAATTGCAGGGTGAAAGCCATGCTGGCGGTGAATGTTCTCTCAATCATTGGAAGCCTCCTCATGGGGCTGGCAAAATTTGGCCCCTCTCACATCCTCATTATAACTGGAAGAGCAATCACAGGGCTCTACTGTGGTAAGTTAAGGACAGTTCTAAAATCTCTCTCTGTAATAAGCTTGCATGTCTGCTTGCATCTCTATGGGGCCGCTCCGGCGGGAGAAGGGTATTAAGCAACCATCTGTAACTATCAGGACACATCAAATTTTGACTATAAGGATTCACTTATATAATCAGCGCAAACAGGTCTCCAGGATTAATGCAAGGTGATGCTCTGGAAGTGGAAAATGGATTGTTTTGTATTTAGGCCCCAATTGCACAAAGCAGTTGAATGCATGGTGAACTTGAAGTCAGCCTGTGCTCAAGTGCTTTGCCAGACAGGTACAGCTTCCCGCCTGGATACTTTGCTGAATGAAAGCCACGATTCAGCACCACCGCTTGGCCACTTTTCACCAGAAAGAGGAAGGTTTTTGTTTCCCAGTTTACTGGAAGATGCGATGCATTTTTTGTACTGCCTGATCTTTTCCCATGAGGAGCACAAGATTGGCAACGGATATGAAAGCCACAGTGACAGAAGCAGACAGAAGACCTAGAAGGAAAAGCAGGAGGCAGCTCTAACTTGGAGGAGCTGATATCTGGGAAGAAATCTGCTTGGGTATGACCGTCCTTCCAGGACATCCCGGCAGTTATTATGGCCACATAAACCAAGAAGAAATGAGCTTTCCTGGAGGAGGACTTCTAAGGACAGGTGTTCAAAATGTAGTACAGAGGGATGACTTCTAATGATCAGCCAAGAAATCTATTTATTACTCTACTGTTCCTGCTGCCGATTGCCTTACTGTATTTACCCGAATTCAGGACTACTTCAAATTTAAGATGACCCTCCTAATAATTAGATTCTATACATGGAGAATTTTAAATTTGTTTGAATTTTCCTTGTACAGAATCTGCTTAGTGGAAGGTGTCTTTAAATTCATCCCCCTGTTGCTGTGAAGGGGAGGTAGCAGCTGGGGGTGATATGGGCTAGACTTCCTACTGCCTGTTGTCCCCTTGTATCTGTGCCTGCCACCTGCCACATGCCCCCTTGCCACCTGCCCCGCTGTGACTGCACCCCCACTCCCTGTCCCCCCACATGCAGCCTGATGCCCCGTCCCCCACCAAATGAACCACTCTAGTCCAAGGCAGGCGGTGGCTCAGCTTTGGCTCAGCCCAGAGCCACCTGCCCTGGACCCGTAGTTGAATCCAAGACAAGGCTTTTCTCCCCCCATGTTGATTTGAGGGAGGCCTCGTCTTGGATTCAAGTAAATGCAGTAAATATGTCTTAGCAATGTGCAAGTTTCATCAACTACTCTCTCGGGCTTAGAAGGAATGATGAACAGCCATGTTGGCAGGTCAGACCTCTTCAAGACGTGGAAAGACTCAAGGAACCACAGACATTTGAAGCAAAATCATTTGTGCATTTGTATGCCATAACAGGACAGCTGCTCTGTAAAGGTCTCACTGCTGAAAAGTCTGTGAATCTTCTTTTGAGGAAGTGATCAAAAGAAAGTAACAGAAAGGCATTCAAGGGGGGGAGGCTCTGACTTCAGGAGAGAATGTGAGAGGGCAAATAAAAAGTGAATGAGATGGAAGACAAAATTAAGAAGAGCAATGTATTTCAGGGGAACTGCAAGGTTAGCAGCAGTAAAGTAATGTTTGTCGCCGTGCTCTTTCCATGGAAACAAAGGGGATGTCATAATCCTGTATGCCAGCAATCGCATCACCCACCTGCTTGAAAAGAGCTTTGAACAAGTCTTTCAAGCTGAGTCATGTTGCAGAAAACCGTTGACTCAATGTTTGACTCAAGAGGCTACAACTGTCTCTGTGGAAACAGAGCTGTGAAAGAAAGCCTGACCCTTTCATTTTGTTCTAATTTTCCCCTCCTTTTTCATTTAAATAGTTTTAAAAAGTGAGAGAGTTTTCTTCTTTTTCATTAGAAAGGGGTGTTTACAGTTTTGTAGGGTTTCCCTTCTCTTATCACTGTTGTGCTTCTCATTCTGGGTAAAACCCCATTCTTCAATGTAACAATATTTTGTCAAAACCATTTGAACCACCCCCATAATAAAGTGAGTTTATTTTACATCTATTGGAAGCTCCTTGGCTTTGCTTCAGTGAGCTGTATCTTAATTACTGGGGCTTCATCTAATCAATTTTTCTGTTCCTATTGTTGGCATTATGCCTACTACTATTACTATTTCTAGTCATAATATGCACTTGGTGCTGTTGAAATCTTGGTCAGTAATACTTTAAATCTAGAGTGCAAACAGAAAGACAGTACCTTAGATTAAGAAAGGCGCTACTTTACAGAAAAACATATTATCCCTTAATTGGTTTATTATCACTGTTAAGTACCATACATTTGGCTTGCTCCACAAGGTCAATGGACAAGCAGAATCTTAGGTAGGAGCTTTGCATTGAAATACCATATCTCAGAAGGTGGTTTATCAGAAGTAGCAAATGGAGCTTAAGTATTGATTGGGAATAGATTTATCCAGATTGTGAGCCCAGTTCTGGTCCTGATTCAGATATATTTTATTATTCAGAGCACTCTTATGCACATGTTTAATCTAGTTTAAGTGGTCTGAATCAGGTGTGCCCTGAATTGGCACCTTCTGCCAGGCTTTCCATTTCCATTAAAACAGAAGGGCATGGGAGGCACTCAAAACCCAGTGGGAGATGATCAGCATCCAGCACCGTACCTGGACTCCTGGCGGCCCCGGGCAAACTTTGAGTATTGGGCCCCCCTTCGCCAGTGATAATGATAATAATTATTATTATTTACACCATTTTCGGGCCCCCTGTCTGTCCGGGCAGCCTCCTGGTTCACCTGTGTCCAGCCCTGTCAGCATCGCATGGGATTGATCCCCAATCCTTTTCCTGGCAAACTAGTTATGTTTTTACTGAGCTGTCATTTAGGGTAAGTGACTTACATGTACACTTTTTTCCAGGGCTTTCATCGGGACTTGTTCCAATGTATGTTGGTGAGGTATCGCCCACAGCCCTTCGAGGAGCACTAGGAACACTTCACCAGCTGGCGATAGTCACCGGGATTCTCATCAGCCAGGTACACGAGAATGTAGGCAGAAGTCACGAGTGATGTACTGTTACTACCAGGGTCGCACTGGTGATTTGCACCAGGGGGTGCCGAGCGATCCCTTGTTAAAATTCCACTGACAAATGGAAACAGAGGTGATTTCCCTGCCTCTTACAGTGCTCACCTTCTTCCTGAATACTAAATCATCCCCAGCAAAGATGAATCTCCACCAAGAGGTGAAAAATACTTGTGCAAGTAGCTTGTCTCTCTTCCCTACAAGGTCCTCATACACTTCTAATCGCACTTACCTTCAATACTGCATGTGTAATCCCTAGGGTCACTGAGAGAGCCAGAATGTCAGCGGAGATGACTTGGCATGGATCCTCGGCCCTCTGGGAGCAAGTCTACATGTGCGCCATTGCTACTGCGCATTAAGTTTAGTACGTCTAATGTGAGGTACTACATAAATGCACAGTAGCCAACGTTAATGCGCAGTAGTAATGGTGCATGGTCTTTTCATGACACTTAATACGCAGTAGACTGATTCTACTGCACGTTAGTGTATTAGCACGGTTTTTGCTGTGGCGTGCTAATGCGCACTAGAATTACTCTACATTAAGCATCTCGTGTAGACACGCCCTGTGTTAACCTAATCTAGCTTCCTGTATAATCCAGGCCAAAGAATTTCACTCACCGTGTCTTTCTGGAAAAAGCTTGAATGAAATGTTAGCAAAACACGCTATTCCCTTCCTTGGTTGTAGCTATGAGAAGAGCTAAGATGACAGAGAACAGAAATATTTTTCCAATATTAGCTTGATTTAGAAAATGAATTTCAATCTGAAAGTATTTCCAGTCCTTTGATGGTCACTTCTCAATGGCTCAAACACACACACACGCAAGCAAAACAGATTTTAAGCTTGAGTATTTGCTGAAAGCAAATCTTGTATTCCAGTTTTAGAATTCACATTGTGCTGGTTTGTGACTGATATGTGTAACAAATCAATACAGTATGCACTTCGTGGTTGGACTAGTCACAAAAAATGTTGCCCTTTGTAAAGTTTCTTGGGATACCGACACAGGCACATTGAGATTTACATCGAGTCATCGTGATTCTAACCAGAGAGTGAAAGAAGTTGAGAGAAGGACTTCGTGTGTCATGAAGGCAAACTTCATATCTGCAAACATATTTTACCTGCATTTCTATATTTCTTGAGTTATTCATCCAAAAGTTTAATTTCTCATTTGCTTCATGCATTGACTTCAGCAAGTGCCTATTTATGGTGTGGCTGTAGAAGTAGTTTCCTCAGTAATACCATGCCTAGGATGTCACTCATGTGGTCCTACCTCTGCTAACAACATAAGCTAGCTTTACAGTATAAGCACTGTTGATTTGCCAGTGACACAGAAGACCAAATTCAACTGTGAGCTACACAAGTTTAAATATGGAGAAACTCCAATGAAGTCCTGGTGTTTCTTCACCTTTTCAGTGATGTCCTGAGAGCACAGCTTGGGTCACAGCATAAGCAAAGCAATTTGTCCAAGACTTCATGCCATCTGTTAGCTTCTCTGTTCTGAGTATGGTCCATAATCTAGATTGGGAGCTCCAATTTTTGCCAACTTCCTCTTCAGCTGTTTTCAGAAAGTGCAATATTACTCCTGAGGTTCTTGTTTTATGATATAATTTAATCTGCTACGTTTGACCCAGATCTGTCATTTCAGATCCTTGGACTAGACTTTCTGCTGGGCAATGATGACATGTGGCCTCTGCTCCTCAGCCTTTCTGGCGGTGCTGCTGTCCTTCAGTTTTTCCTTCTTCTACTGTGCCCAGAAAGCCCAAGATATCTTTACATTAAACTAGGAAAGGTGGAGGAAGCTAAAAAAAGTAAGAAACAGATTCTGAGTTGTATTTTGTATTTAAAACTGTGCCAGATTTGAGGATGAACCTGGCTGATCACTAACTAGTACAATTATTAGGCTTGTATCAGGCTTGTCCCATGCATCAGGCTTGTGCTGTTGGCAGCCCCAGACACCAAACACCTGTGTATATTCACTGAATAATGCATTTGTGCTGAATAATGCATGCCTGACATATGTTACCATTTATGTTCTCAACTGTGGGAGCTGTTGAATGTTTCCATATTCCAGATGTGGGTCACATCTGAATGTAGACCGAGGTTGAAGGACCAATTTCCAGTTTTGTGTGAAATTCCTCAATTCCAAACTTGATTTTGATCTGACAAGTCATCATTTTCCCAAACAGAAATGTTCTCTCAGAATTTTATTTATCAACTCTAATATAGAGACGTTGTCCTATGAACAACTTTTGAAATTGCACAATATATGTGACAGCAAAGGAATTGCTTGCATGCGCGTGTTCGGGCACATAGAGGAGAAACAATGTCATGTTCCTTCCCTTCATGGAACAATGGCATGGGCCATAGTATGGGGACGTTCATGTGTGTAACACGGTTAACTTTCATTCGTTCTCTCCTTGCTCTGATTGGAGAGATTTGCTTGTTACTGAACTCTTAGTTGTTTGAAATTTCCTTTGAAAAGAAATCATGATCTTTTTCTCTCTCAAGGTTTGAGAAGGCTTAGAGGAAACTATGACCCCATGAAAGAGATTGCAGAAATGGAGAAGGAAAAACAAGAAGCTGCCAGTGAAAAGAGAGTCTCCATAAAGAAGCTTTTTGCCTCTTCCAATTACAGGCAGCCGATCCTCGTGGCACTCATGGTTCAGGTGTCTCAACAGTTTTCAGGAATCAATGCAGTAAGTTCCCTAGCAACATTCGTTTCCTAAAGGCATGTACAACATGGTGCTTGGATCTTGCCTCAAAGCACGATGAGGTCAATAGGAGTCTCTTTTGACTTCAGTGGATTTGGAAGTGGACCATCTGTGCATAACTCAATATTTTATTAGTAACATCTAAGGCTAAATTACATCATCAGTATTTAAGAAAGAGTTAATCATTGAAATCATTTGTTGGGGAGAAAAGGTAAGGGTTGTGTATTCTACATAAAGCCAAGGAGCTGTTTAAAATATGTATATGGACACAACGTCATAGCCACTGTTTTAAATATTTATATGGACACAATATCATAGTCAGTCTGCAAAGGACTTACCTTCACGGCACCTGGACTAGGGAGCTACTCTTACCCATTGTCTCCCCACATGCCTGGGAAATAGGACACTAGAGAGGGGCACTGAGTGGGGTCTAACTCTTCATTTGATTGTGTTTGATAGATCTTTTACTACTCTACAAATATTTTTGAAAGAGCTGGAGTTCAGCAACCAGTTTATGCAACCATTGGCGTTGGTGTTGTGAACACTGTCTTCACCGTTATCTCTGTAAGTAAATATCTCTGTGCTGGATAGTTCAGTGGGCCAGTAAAAAGCATGTATACTATCATTTCCATACAGGCTAAAGATTTCATTATGCTGCTGAGTTTGAAAGAGTGAGTGAAAAATGACTGACCCTGGAAACCTTATTTTACTTACTTGTATGAGTAGTGGCTCATACTGTCAAAATGTACCAAGATTGAAGACTCCACATCATTGCATGCAAACTCCAACCCTCTGTTAGTTGGTTACTTCTGTTGCACTAAAACTTCCCAAATTGAGTTAGGGAGACTGAAGCCCTCTTTAGTTTCTCCTCGTCTATAGGACAGATTTAGCTTAGGCTGTGACAGTGAATGCTTTCCACTGCTATAGTATCAGTGTGCCACAGCCATCTATCTTATCTTTTATCTTTAGACTTCACTACTGTATTTATATAGCACCTATTCTGGTAATGACAAGATGCTATTCGATGGCAATAAAATTTATATAGTACTCATCCTGGCAATATCTAGATGCTGTTCTGTAGTCATACAGAACATGGCCAATCTCCACAGCCTATATTTGATCATTTTTCTCTGGTGAGGGTACAGAAGAGCCCAGATCATTCATATCCAGGTGGTTCACAAACCACATACTTCACAGCAATTGTTGAATGAAGGAGAAGCCATGCAACTGTTTCCTTGGCTTTTATTTAAAAGGCATCACTTTTCCACTCAGTTGGAGAACCACCATGGTCCCGTGCAGATCTCTGCTGCAGCTGTATACATCCCTAATTGGTTTTCAAACCTTCAACCTTGTAGGGGCAAAAACTCCATCCCTATGACTTATCTACAATATTAACAACATTCCAGTTACTTGTCAAATATATTTAATTCAGGCATTCATACAATAGAAAGTGAATATACACATTTAAATAATTTTTTTATGCACTAACAACCAGGACTGGACTTCAACCAGTGACCTAAGGGTATAAGCCAGTGTATCCTCCATTAACAAATCTACCCACCAAGGTTTAGGCAAAGGTGCTTTAGTGGAATACATCAGCAACCCCCTTAAAGAAAAAGATTTGTTGAGGTTTATTGGGAAATAAGACATTCAGCCCACGTTCCTGTGACCTGACGAGGTTCTACTGTCATTGGACAGCAGCAGCAGGGGTGTTTTCCTTCATATCTAGGAATGTTTGCTCTCCACTTCTTTGACCCTGAGCATTTAAATATTACCTAAAATTTGTCAATCAACTACAAACTGACTGTTCTGATCAACAGGCATGGCCTACAGAGCCTACTGACAGCTGTGCTGGACACTGATATGGGGAGCAGAGATCACAATCAGACCCTGCTCTCTGCAAATCAGTGAGCCAGCAGGATGAACTGCCTGAGCTGAAAGTCCCATCTTAACCTTTAGAAAAACCAGTGGCCCCCGCCAGTCTCCAGGGGCAGATCTGTACCCCAGTGCTCCTTGGGGAATGCTGCTTCTGAGCACATCCTGCCCAGACACTCCCACTCGCGTCCAACCAAGAAATGTGGCTGTCGAATGGATTTGGGGGTACCCTCCCTGGCCAATCTTTAAGCTCCCTGTTGGTATGCATGACAGCAGCAGTGGCAGACATGCTGGAGTGGCTTCACTGTCGTGTTTCGACATTTAGTTTAGGCAAGTGTAAACAGGTGGGTGGAACGGGCTTGAGACCAGCCCTCCCCAGGAGTGCTAAGGGTACAATGTGGACATATGCCAGGTATGCTATGTATAAAGGAAGGAAAGGTTTCTGGCAATTGGAAAGAGAATCTAGGTTGAGAGCTATCAAAGGAGACGTCCAGAGCCCACCTGCAGGAATCAGATGGTAACTGTGTGTGCATGTGTACAAACCCTAGGATGGACACAATTCATGGGTGCAAGCCATGATTTGCCTGCTGCATATTACCTGGCTTGAAACTTTCAGTAGTGTGGTTAATCTGGGTGGATAAAACCCCCCGTGTGAACAAGGCCCAGCTAGCAAACTCATCCTGAAACTTGTACTGGTCCTTCATTCCTGGGGAGTTCACTCCATCTCAAACCAGCCCCCAGTAAAGCTCTGCCTCACACACAGACAGGCTTTATCTTTATCATAGAGAATGCCATTATGTCAGAGAAGCATAAGTGCTCATGCCGTCTTCATCTTGGAGCTTCAGGTGACCTTTCCAGGCCATGGAAAACCTTGAAGAAAAAGACCAAGTCTTTGAACTTGATTCAAAATATGTGAATCGAATTCAGAAAGTGGAGGACAAGACTGGTCTGCTGAGGGCAGCCTGAATTGCCAACGATACACACTGTACTTGTTGGAGTTTGCTAAGTGCTGAAGGCTTCATGCCCAGGTATATCACACAGGTAGCCTAGCTATGTGATGACAAGATCGCATTGTTATAAGTTGTATTGTCGAGTGCTGATTGATGAGAGCAGAGCTGGTAACTCCAATATACTACTTGCATTTCTCCAGGTCTTCCTGGTGGAGAAAGCAGGGAGACGGTCCCTCTTTATTGCTGGTTTGACTGGTATGTTAGGAAGTGCCATACTCATGACAGTTGGACTTGAACTTCTGGTAGGTTCTTCTTTCTTTCTTTCTGGTTTTGTTCCCCAATTCATAGACTAGGGAAGAAAAACTTCCCATGAATATTTAAAACACAATATATAGCAAATTTATTTCAAGGAGCGTGATCTGAAAGCAATTCCCCTCGCACACAAGCTAAGAGCCATCATCTACGTCAGATAAAATACTCCCAACTTGTACTTTCGACAATTGATGTAAGTGAACACTGTAACTTGCACTTCAAACAAATATGAGACTGTTGGAACTCCATCACAGATATGCAGCCCTTCAGGAAATTCAAGATTATTCCTTGAAATTGGAGAGCTGACCAGTTTGGAGACATTTCATAACGTTTATAGATATGCACAGTAAGGCAAATACAGACAAATCACATGCATCAGAGCATGAGCAGAGAACTGCAGAGGTCACGAAGGACCAAACACTTCTCTTTCACTCAGCGTTATCACTTTCCTCTGGATCACTGTGACTTAGCCTCCTACTGTAAGACCTGCTGAATCAATGTCAGGAAAATCTCAAATAAAGGAAGGGTGACTTCCTTTAATCACCACATCCTTGCATTTTCCTGTTGCTTTTCCAGCTACTTTTTGCATCTATCTGAAAACACAGCACATACGTTTCACCAGCTTTGAGCCTGTGACTCAGCCCCCTTGGGTATAGCTACACAGCTTCCACAGGGCTCTCGGGCAGGGACACTGCTGAGTATGCCCTCCTGCTCACGTGCACCAAATCCAGAAATGCCATAATGAAGCTCCTCGGGGTGTCCATTAAGCTCTCAAATGTAATGGAGATGGAGGTCTTGAGAGTAGCTGTGATGGCTTCACCACCACGTTTCTGAGCTGGGTGGATGCAAGCAGAAGCAAGTGGATGGGACATGCTCAGGAGCATCTTCATGGCAGGCAGGGAACAACACATCCACTATAAACCAGATCTACATCTGGTATCACTCAGTATCACTCCATCACTTCACTGGAGCTACACTGATTTATGCTAACTAAGGACCTCACTCAGAGGGTCATATCCAGCAGTGCTCCACAGAAATGCCATAGATGCCAATTTAAACAGCTCACGTGAACCCGGAGTAATTCAACTCAAGTTAATTGAGCTACTTTGGATTTTCCCCCATAAGACTGAGAGCAGGACATGGCCTGCTGCCTTCAATCTGTTACAAATTTAATTACCCGTGTCTGGTATTTTCCCCTGTTGTTTAAATCAAAAGAAACTTTTGCAACAGAACAATAATGTAATTACCATTTTTTTTTTTGCATACGACACCTTTTTTCCCCCCAAAAATCAACTGTTGGACATTGGGGTGTGCATTGTAAGTGAGGAAATACAGTAATAGCATGAGCCTCTCTGGAGGGAGGGGAGAAAGTAATGCTGCCCATGCTGCACAGGGGGCAGCACTGTGAGCGCATGGGTCTACCTAGCTGCTGGCTGTGGGCACTTTCTCTTTACCCCAGCAAAGGCTCGTACTATAGAAACTTGGCTCTGCTGGATTTCCAAAGCAGAGCTGAGCCCCGGGGGCTGGGGTAGAGGCTCCTGTTAAATCTGCTCAGCTGAGTCCACAGGGGCTGCTGGCTGGATTAGGTCTTCAGCTAAGCTGGCAGGCACTGCTGGATGCCCACCCAGCTCAGCTGCAGAAGGGAAGAGGGGTTAGGGACTTTGGCTCAGCTTACTGGCTGAGATACCTGCAGCTAAGGAGTTAACAGAGCAGCCACAATGTTTTGCTCCCTTGCTAGTGCGGCGCCTGTGTTTTCTGTGAGAAAATACCGTACTTAACAGTACTTCCAAGGACAGATCATTTTGATTTCATTCTCCCCTTCAAATATGAGGTGCATATTTTATTCAAGGCATGTTGTATGCAAGAAAATACGACAACAATAACCACAGGTAAATGTATTGTGCATGTAACCACTCGTGTGGTAAATTCACTATTCTTCACCTGTCTTTATAGGGAAGATTTGCTTGGATGAGCTATGTGAGCATGGCGGCAATCTTTCTCTTTGTAATCTTCTTTGAAGTTGGGCCTGGCCCAATCCCCTGGTTTATTGTTGCCGAACTCTTCAGTCAAGGGCCCCGCCCTGCCGCCATCGCTATGGCTGGTTTCTGCAACTGGACCTGCAACTTCATCATCGGCATGTGCTTCCAGTACATTGCGGTAAGAAACCTTCCTACATCTTGCAAATGAGCATCAACAGTCATTGAGATTCCCAAGGAGCTCTACGGAGACGTACATCTACCTCCCATGGAAATAAATGGAAGAGATGTATCTAGATATGGCCCTCAGGCCGGATCTGGGCTGTGGGTTTTAGACTGAGCCCATGTACCACATGCAGTATGCACTGGACCTGCTGCTGTGGACACTGCACATGGCACAGCATTTGGTCCAGGTCATCCACACTGGCTTGGCCCTATGCATTGGCTCTGGGACTGGGCTGGATTGGGCCCACAGGTTGTTCCTGAGTGGAAGAGCTACCACATAGGGCCAGTCTGGTGCAGGCGCCTTAGGTAGTATGTAACACAGATAGCACATGCCCCTGCCTGGACCAGGCGCACACACTGCACATGGCACTGGGGTCTGGTGGGGGGGGGGTGGGGGGTGCACTACATGTGGTGCCCACCCGACCAGCTCTGCATACTGAGTTCATGGCTGGTCCAGATCAGCCCCACACACAAGGCCGGTCTGGTGGAGGCACCTCATGCAGCACATGCCCCATGCACAAGCCCCAGACCTGGCCCAGCAGACACTGCAGGTAGTGCGAAGGGCTGCTCTGGGGTGGACATTGCTTGAGATGCCCACACTGGACTGGCCCTGTGTGCTGCCTCCGGTGCGTGGGGTTGGCCTGTGGGTCTGATGCAGCCCACAGACTGGACCCATGTCCCTCATCCGGCCCACAGGTGAGTTTGACACCCCTGCTCTAGACTGCTTTGAAAATCTTAACAGATGCATTAAAAATGGTAAGCAAGCAATAGGCTGGTATTAATTATGGCTCTGTTTCACTTTGCCTCTGACAGGATCTGTGTGGATCTTACGCATTCGTGATCTTTGCTGCTCTGCTCCTAGGCTTCGTTGTGTTTGCTATCTTTAAAGTGCCAGAAACCAAAGGGAAGTCTTTTGAAGAGATTTCAGCTGAGTTTCGCCGCAAGAGACGCTCAGCAATGAAAGGACCCAAAGCTGCTACTGAACTGGAGGATCTTCGAGGGACCGAAGAGGCATAAAACTCCCAGATGTCTACAAGAAGGAGATTAAAGATGAATGTTTTTCACAGGCATCTCAAAGAACTTGCATTGTTTTATAAAGATATGGCAGCAAAAACACTAGTAGGTTAAACCAGTATAATGCCTTCTGACTAACAGGACTGGCAGGTTGTACCCTACTGCCCTAAAGACTCAGATCCATATTACACTCTCAGGAGCAATATATGTGTGCTGTACGAAGAGATATCTAGAAAAGAAAGGAAAGACTATATGGAGGTAGGCTTCTATGCTCCACTGCATTGATTCAGAAGGATAACACTCTGCATTTGCCAGAGAATAGTATAGGACTGAATAGGAGCATCATGCAGAAGGAACAGAAGAAAGGAAGAGGGGATTTATGGTAAAGAAGAGGTGATTTATACTTGTAATGATTCCACCCTTCTTTCTCATGCCTGTTGAGTCCTTCTGCTTAAATACGTGACACCTTGAGAAACTAAATACTACCGTAGAGGTCACATGAGCACAAAACAATAAGAAGTGGAAGGGGCTAATGATAAAAGACTGAGTGTTTGCACATCCTAGTCTTATATGACAAATCCCTGCCGAGTGGCAGGATACCATTCCCATGAAAATGTGCTAGACCCTAAACCTTGCTTGTTTGATTTACTATGAAATAGTCACAGAAATGCTGCCTGGTTCTGTAAGGATTTTCCAGCTGAACTGCCCATTTGAAGACAGATTTAATAAATCCTGGCCAGAGAAGTTGCCCATTGATATTTGTGGGTAAAAATCTTTCACTGCTCTTTCTTTTTGGTGAGGCAATTGCTCAGGAGATATCAACATGCGGTAATGTAGCCTCACAGGCCTGCCTGTACCGGGAGTGAATAGAGGTGGATTATTATGCTTATCTCTACAGGCTCCCCGTGTTACTCTGGGAAAGTCACTTCACCTCTCTGCTACGGTTTGCCCTCCCCTCCTTGCCCGTCTTGTCTGCTTAGACTGTGAGCTCCTCAGGGCAGGGTCTCTCTCATTCTTTTGGGCTTTAAGGCACTGTGGTAGGACAAGCATTAAACAGCTATAAGCGGGGGAAGCTTCTTAGCTACTGTGTAGTATGTGTAGTATTATTAACTTCAAGCCTCATGGGCTCTATCAGAGCTGTGCGGCTTTTCCCTAACTGTAGATGTTCATCCTGGATATCCTTCAGTTCCAGAGGCGTTTGCTCCAGCCTCTCAAGAGATGACCTGTGGGGCATTTTTGAAACCCTGACTCATGACTTATTTTAGTTTTTTGCTGCTCTGTGAAATACCTGGTCTATGCCTCTTGAGGTCCCTGGACCAAAATCATCATGGTGGCATCTGAGCACATTATGCCACGTGCCCATTATTGTATTGCTGTGTGAAGCATAGGCTGACCTAAGTCAATAGTATTTATGGTTATAGCTGATGCAGTGAGAATAATCATATGTTCACTGAATCATATGTTCAGTGGATCAAACCTAATGAAAACTATCAGAGAGTGCACGACCGAGGGCTGGGTCCTTTGCAGGTGCAGGTAGCTCCACTGAAAGCAAAGTATGCCCATTCACACAGGAGACAGTCAGTGTCCTTTCTGGATGTTACTCCTTTGGCTTTAAGACATTGGGTTAAATTCTGCTGCCATTCAAGTTAAGGGGAGTTTTGTCATTGACTTCAGTGGGACCTGGATTTAGCTCCAGATTGTACATTTGAGTAACAAGAAGCGCATAACAGGTCAAATACATCCTTGGTGTAATGGCAGTTGTCCTCACCAGAGTTATGCTTAGAGAGGAATTTAGCCAATAGATATCATGTGATAAATTGGTCATAGGGAACACACACCTGAAATTCAATGTGCTAGATCATAAGAAAGCCAGAGCTGCTGGCTGCCATTCATTAGAACAGGACAGCAGATCAGTGGCACTGGACTAGTGTTCCCATGTCTCAGACCTTGCAACTCTTGTTCACAAGTACTGTAGCAAAACCCCCAGTTTTTCTTTTTTTATTTATTTTAAAATGCATTCCCTCCCCTTCCCCAGCCATTTCTGACTTTTTCTCTCTCTCTCTATTCCCTATAGATAAGTATAAGTAGGCTAAGATGTAGGATAAGCTTTAACATTTTATTTTAGGTAGTAAGTTTTATTTTTCTCTCCCCTCTTTGCTAATAAGTGCCCTGCTATTTTGATATAGATAGCCACTGTTTTATAAGTGATAATGATTATGTTTGTATTGATTTTTTTTTTTTTTTTTTTTTTTTTTACTGCTTTGATATTGTGTGATTACTATTTTAGGCCTATATATGTCAGTTAGCATAAGTCATGTCAAGTTTCCATCTTGTAATGTCAAGCCTCCATCTTATCCCCATGCCCGGTTGTGTAACCCATGACTCACACCTACTCCTCCTACGTAACTTGGTTCCTGAATGAATGGAGATGAATGAGGGTGCTTGAGAGACAGTGGCAGTGGGTCTAAAAATAGCTCCCTCTGAATGACCGAACCATCAACACCAGTACCTGGACCAACGGCCGAGCCCTTGGAGCCACCCATCAGCATTCAAGAAACAAAAGATGACGCAACCCACCATTGTGCCAGGCTGCACATGCTCAGTAAGAACACCTGGAGCCCTCTGGGACAAGACTGACATTGCCTGGACAAGCCATCCCCATAGGAGATCAGAGGTAGTCTGCCCCATAAAAGGGGTAGTGAAGACTGACTCCTTGAGATGCCTTCTCCATCTGGACCAGCACCATGCCATACCACCCAGAGGCTCTGCCACCCAAAGGCCCTGCCAGCGACCCCCCTCTGGACAACACCTACTGGACAAGGACCCCTTTCCAGTCTGGATAGGTAGCTATCACCCCTACCCCCACCCCCTCTTCAACCAAGGACTTGGACTCTGCTTCTCTTCCCTGCCTGGACTCCAACCCTTCCACTGAGTCTCTTTCTCCTGCTGCCTCTGTGAGTATGTGTGTGTGTGTGTGTGTGTACCAATAACTTAATGGGGCTGTGTAGTGTGTTGTCTGTTTAATAACCCTCTTATTTTGAAACCCCGAGTTGGGTTTTTGTCTGTTTCCTCCTTGCTACCACCTATCTGCCCCCCCAGTCTCTAAGCTGTCAGCCTGTTTCCACCCCCAAGCTCCCAGGTTTCTGCCTCTCTCTCTCTTTCCTGGCTGTCTCCTCCTTGCCACCACTTATCTGCCCTCCCCTTCCCCGCCCCCCAATATCTCAGCTGTCTGCCTCAGTTTCCAGCCCCAATCTACCTTAAGTAACCCCAAGCCTCAGTTCCTCAGCCAGATTTTCTCTAGTTCACTGGTTCCAATCTCAGTTCTGACAACATTTACTCCCTACACTTTAACTCTCTCTCTCACCTTAACCTTCCCCCAAGTATCCCAGGTACCCCAAGCACACACTTACATACCGTGCAATCCAAGTTAGGAACTTACCTATGTGTAGGTGGGTTGTATGTGTAGTGTGTGTGTATATATATAAATAATGTCATTGTGTGTATAATATATGAATTAGTGATCTGTGTATGTGTACTGAGTGTGCGAGTATGGACAATTGATTTTTGTCTAACTTTTGGGGTGTATAGTGTATGTGCTTGAATTGGTGATAGGTATGCATGTGCCTAGGCTAGTTTGGATGTGTATGTGCCTGAGTTGGTAGAGAGAGAGAGAGAGAGAGAGTGTGTGTGTGTGTGTGTGCGCACGCGTGCGTGTGTGCATGCATCCAATTGATTTGTGTGTTTGTATATGTGCAATTGTGTCACACTCTCCTGTCTAACAGCGCAATATTGAGATCCTGAGAGTTGGCCTGACCCCACAGGGCAACAGTACAATAGTACAGCTAGCACATAGGGCAAGCTGCTGAGACTGCCGACTCAAGAGTTTTACACTAGGGATATCACAGTAAGTTAAATATTAAAATAGTTGTTCTGAATGTAAAGAAAATGAGGTTTGTGCCTTCAGTCATGTTATCTACATCTGTTACGTAAAAGTGTCCATAATGTTTTCAGTGTGTTTTGGCTTTTGTTCCTGCTGTTTGTCCTGTCGGTGGTGAAGGTGAGAGCTAGAGCCCCCGAGAACAGGGGCTAGTTTCTCGGGGCCGGTACCCTCCTTACATTGCAATGCATTGGCTCTGGGCAAAATGTGTGGGCCAAAGGTTAAAGCTCAGGGCTGGGACTTGGGAATCCTGGGTTGATTAACCTTAAGTCATCAGGAATTAGCTGCATGTCCCCTTAATTTGTGCTCCAGGCTGTGCCACCACCTCATAGGGTACGACTGGACTGCACTTCTTACCTATGGGTTAGCCCAATAGCTCTTCCATTATACATCTTTCACTTCTTTATGTCTGTGGTTTGAATTCAAGCTTGCTTTCCTGGCACTATGGGTTAAAGGCTTTAAACTGGCTCTGACCCACCTTGCAGTATGGATGCTGCTACGGCATGCATAGCTGAGATCTTGTTTAGCCAATCCTCCAGTGCTGCTCCCATGAGCCTATATGTTTTGACCTTTCTACTTACTTCCCACTAGCCTCGTATGCATGGAAGCTACCCACCAGCTTCTATGCACTTGTTTCACATTTAGCCCTTCATCCCCTGGGTCACACAGTGATCTGCACGGCTGAGCCAACAGCGTTTGAACATGCCGTGCAGAGCACTGCTAGCTCGCTGGAGGATCGTGCCAGGAGTCTGGTTCATCTGTAATGTAAGCACAGCAAGGAACATGATTTGGGGCGAAACACTCAAAATCTGTACTCAGATGAAAGCATGTTGAGGAGGCTGGCAGAAGTGGGCATCAAGCAGATGGAATACAATGCAGAAAGCACACTAAAGAGCACTTCCTGCAAGGCAAAAGATACCAATGTCAGGCCGTGAAACTGCTCCTCCTCTACCTACCTCTGCAACAAGGATCTGACCAGGTGCTTGCAGGCTTCTGAGGAAGCAGTGATGGGGATCCCTGGAGGAGTTACTAGACAAGATCCTAGAGGAAAAGTTGGTGGAGGTGCAGGGATAGACCCCAAAACAGACCACAGCGTTGTTCAGGGATAAACCTGGAGAGGAAGTGGCATCAAAGTCAGAGCTGCAGCTGGGTGAGTGATGCCTACCATCTTCGTTGTATTATGGGAGGATTTGCAGCATTATGAGGAAGGACTTACGTGTTATGAATACAGTTATTGTTATGGAGGATATTACAAGCAATAAGATGTCTTCATGGAGGGCCAGACCATGTCTCTGGTCCCTCTCTCTTGGCTATCACAGGTTATTCAACAGAAAAAAGCAAAACATACACAAAACCCTAGTGATTAATTCTTACTAAGTTAGCACTTCTTTAAAAGAAAACCAGGTTACAGATGTGGCAAGCATAAGTACATCTTTCCTCATGTTTCAATCTACTGCTCTCTTTGTAATTCTGTCAAGATAGTCATTGCATTCCAGCATTGCATCAGGCAGCACAAATGATATGTCCCAGTGGCTGTATTAAATGCAAAAGTTTCTTGGGGACAGTAGTAGTTTGCTCCCTGGTCCTCCCAGTCTGGGTTGAGGAAAGAAAGACATGGAGGAGATCAGTTCTGCTGTTAGCAAACTTCTGCATCCTAGTCCAGCCTCCTGTTCATATTCATCTGATCCTGACCTGTCCCCTTTGCTCCCCAGTTCCCGGTAGGTGATGCTTCATCATTTTTCATACGGAGGAAAATATGATAGTTTGTGAGATTCCTGGACAGGGCAAACTTCCAACAGCTTGCGCACAAAAAGGCGCTTCTCACCAGCCCCATCACTGACAGTGCCGGCAGTGTCTGTGGGTGGTCGCCAAGCCCCAGTCAGCACTCACCACCTCCCCACTGCCGACAGTGCCGGTGCCGTCTGTGGGAGCTCCCCACTTACCACCGCCGCGTTCACGCCACCGCCAGCACCACCATGCCCCGCCAGTAGCCGGGGCACACGGCGTTCATGCCCTTCACCCAGATGGATGCAATTCTGCATGAAAAAGTTCCAGTGTCAGACTCCAGTCTCCAAGAGATTTCACGTTCTCTAAGGCTTCCCCAGACTGAAATGCTAGCAGCACTACAAAAAGGCCTTTATCTGACTGACCTAGTAGTCCCTCCCTGCAGCCAAGTCCCCCAAATTGTTACAATATCGTTTAAAATGGATTAAATCTGAAATTCTTTCCTTCAATGCCTTTAGGCCGATTACATAGAATGGAATATAGGTATTCCAGGCGGATCAAAGCATCAAAGCACAGCCTTGTGATGGCATAGTATATAAAGGGAGGGAATCTTTTCAATCTTTCCATGAACAAAAATCATAACAGGTACTTACTTTCATTTCCTTGGCAGGGCCTTCCTCTACTGGACCAAGGCAGGTGGCAAAGGATGGTGAGCTGAAAATTGATCCTATTTCAAGGAAACTGTGTTATCATTCTTTTTGTATTCCTCCCCCCAACCTCCACGCCCCCGCGCGCGGAAGAAACACCAGTTTCAATTATAACTCTCCAGTCGGCTCTAATTTCAAGAAAAACAAGATTTTAGCAGGAGGCATTGGTGGAGATGGTACAACCCCAATGAGCAAATGTCACTAAGCTTCTGGATCGATTTCAGCTGAGCTCTCTGTTTTCTGAATATTTTAACAATATCTCATAAATGTGGTGACCAGGGTGTTCAGTTAGTATATAATGTGCTCTGTGAATCTGAGCTAGATACAGACTATTACAGGGGTGGCCAGCCTGTGGCACCCGTGCTACAAATGGTACGGACAGCCTCTTTGCGTGGCACACAGCAGGCCAAAGAGGGAGGAAGGAATACAGCAACAGACAGGGCAGGGAGGAGAAAGCACAGCAACACGTGGGGCAAGGGAACAGGATTAGGGTGGCATTTGGGGAGGGTGTGAGGCTTCCCTTGTGGCATGCCTGCCAAAAACGATGGCCCTCACTGGGGGAGTATCATGAACCATCCAGTCTGTTTTCCTGATTTAAGAGCATGTGTATTAGAAGAAGAAGGGCAATGAAAACTCAGATTCAGTTACTGTAAATCAGCAAATGTATCAGATTAATAAATGACACTGATAAATGTATTCCTGAATTTTAAGTA